TGCCTTCTCTTTACTCATATTTTTTGGCCCCCTTTTGCTTCTGGAATCATATTGAGCATGCATTTTGTATTCTGTGTCTGATAATTCCAATATCTAAAGTACTATGGGTCTAATTCTACTTTCTGTTGTTTCTTCTGGCTCTTACTTGATTCAAATGCTTTGCTTCATTGTGTCTTTGGTACTTTGTGACTAGAGGCTGATTATTAATTTTTATTATTGCTTTGATTCTAAATTGTTTGGGCTGGTATAAAGGTGTGTTTCTTTAGAAAGTATTTTAGTTTCAGAAAGGATATTAGCAGGTAGTAGGGAAACCAGTAGTCTTGAATCACTTCAAGTTATTAAAGGGATTTCTAGGGTTGCCATCCAAGTGGTGTGAATTTTTGTTTCAAATCTATTAATACATAAGGATCTGCTCGTGGTTATGCAACCTCAAAGTATTTTTTTGTTCTCTCTGCTCAGCTCCACGTTTGAATATAGGCAACTTTTCTGACAGTCCTAGGGTGGAGTAGAAAAAAAACATGAGTTTCTTTCTGTTAATAATCCACACTTAGTCTAAGGGTGTAGCCCTTTAGGTCTCAGATTTTTGGTGAACTCTCCAGCCTGAGTAGGCTCTAGCTTTCATTTCTCCGTAAGTCCCAGAATGCTGGGACTTACTGAATGCTGAGAAAAAAAATGCTCAAAATCATCCAATTTGACAAAGACCACAGAGCAAAAGTCAAATTCAGTGTTATTTTTATTTCTCTGTGTTTCCACTTTCACTTAGCCCTTAGCTTGTGTTGACTTTTCTTATACTTGCCAGCTTGTAGACATTTTCAAGAAGATTGATTAAGAGATCTTTTCTAGTAGCTTTAGTTGTTTTCAGTGGAATTCTTGGTTATCCAGTCTGTGATGTTGCTGAAAATGGAACTCCAACCATGCCTGTTTCTTTCCTCTTACCTTTGGGCTGATCCTTGACCAGTTGTCTTTATTTTATTGACCCATATACTTAATAACGGAAGACAGTAGTTGGTTAAGATATCAGAATCTGTATGTTATCCTTTTTTCCTCTTATTCTTTTACCTTCCATATCCATCCTCAGCCTTCTATATCCAAATTTATCTCCCAATCTACATTTGTACCAAAATTGTACTTGTTTATCTTTACTACTCTCTATAATCTCTAGTACTTTAAAACTTCCTAACTGTTCTGTTTTCATTAATATCAATTCTGCATATTCTGGCCAAAAGCATCTACCTAATCTTCTGACCATATCACTATCCCTCTTAAAACTCTGTAATTACTAAATGTCACGTATAAGAAAAAAATCCAAGGTCTTTAACATCCTGCAAAGGCCACTCAGTTGAATCACTGTCTACTTCTCCAGGCTCTTCTCTCAACCAAACTATGCTTGATATTTATTCTCTGGTCACATTAGCCTGCTAGTAGTTGTCTGCACATACCATGCTATTCCCTACCCTATGTTATTTTTCATGTCCATTATGCTGGAATGCTCTTTCCATAGCTCACTTCTTTTGATTAAATAAATAAATAAGAGAAGGACAAGGCAGAGCAAGAAGAGGAAAAGGAAAAAAGTAGAATAAAAGATAATTCCAAAAGTATTTGTTACCGTAAAGATTATTTCTCTTCCTATTCTGAAAGTGTCACTGTTTTCATTCTCTGCCAATGTTCTGAATGTGTAAATAGGTCCAAATAAATCTTATGGCAATGGAAAATCTTAACTTGATGTATCTATCTTCTTTGGTTCTTCTTATTAGTTGAGTCTCCATTATTTAAGCTGAGATTCATGCCCTAATGCTTATTTCATGGTCTGAATCTGGAGAAGTCCTAGAGATTATGCCTGGCTGGCAAGGTTCCTTGGATCCGGGATTGACGAAAGATATTTCCTATTATGACTGACAAAGTGAGGGAAATCAAAGGTTAAAAATTTAGTAAATGATAGAATCTAATAAGTCCAAAGAAATGAAGGTTTGACAGATACATGGGAGAAAATGTAGGGTTTGAAAACCAGAGTACAGAACACAAAATCTAGGATCCAGGGAGATGTAATCAAGACTCAGAAGAGTGCAGAAATTGACCAGAACAGCTTTCGCGCTACAGACAATGAACTGTCTATGTGTGAGTATGTTGGGGGAAGGTGGTGGGAGTCCTGCCAAGATTCAATGTCAAAACTAAGATATTAATAACCTGATTTTTTTCCCTATTGAGAAATAATATAATTGATGAATATCCTTAGATTGTTTCTGCCACAGTGTCTTAGGTAGCTTACACTGTATCAAAACTTAATGAATGATAGATATAATTGATAGAATACTTACATTGTTGTGATTGATTTTACTTGAACCTCACAGGAAAAGGTCACAAAAATCAGTCATCAATGGCACATAAGAGTGAAATCCATGAACCTTCACCAGAGACAGTTCAAGGCGAACCTCCACCAGTGACTCCTGTGGAGGTTCGCCTAGGCACCTGGTTTACAACCACAACTGAAGGAAATCGGATTGGCACCAAAGGATTAGAAAGAATAGCAGATTTGGCCCCATTTTTATCCTTTCGGGCCACAGATCCTGTCAATAGAACGGTATGGCAAACTATATTATATACTGCAAAATTTTCTAAATCCTTAGAATTCTGAAGCAGGACATAGAAGAGTGCCTGGTGAATAATAAATTTTCAATAAATATTTGTTATGTAGTGGATAGGTGGATGGATAGATGGATCTACCTTCTCAAATCTAAAAATATCATGTGGTATATTTGACAAACATAGTATATCAGGAATTACTAATTTTTTGTATAAAGGTATGTTTAGGAGACAACTTCTTCAGAATGAAATACTAATTTTTGAAGTGAGAGGCAGGTCATGAATTTTCTATATCACTTTTAAGATATGTATGAGTAAAGATGTCATGAGTTTCCTTATGTTGAATGTATTTGTGTATATATCTTATCTCCTGGAAGCAAAAATCTATGCTCTATTCCTACTTCTTTGTGTCCATCTGCAGTTAGTGATAGAAATTTGCTCATGATCCTTGATTTTGAAGAATTTATGGTATATTTAAGGAGATAAGACAGGCTCATGTCAAGTAACTCAAGAATTCAACACCATAGAGCAACTGTACAAAAGAATTTATTTGTGGCATAACAATAAGTGACAAGTTAGTGGTATAGAAAATAATGTTTTGTTTATGATATAAAACGGAAACTCCTGGGATGAGCAATAGCACCTTCTATGTGTCAGGATTTCTTTTATGGGTTTATGTCCCATAATCTCATTCAGTCCTTACACCAATACATCATCACACAGCTGAGGAAATGGAGCCCCAGGAAATTAAGTTACATGGTCAAGAGTACACACCCAGGGAATGCCGAAGCCAGGATTAGAACCAGTTTTTGGTGACTAAAAACTAGGCTTTTTCCATTCTTTAGCTATTCCTCTAAAATCTTATGTGGAGCTTTTCAGCACCCTGTAAATCTAAACAAAATGAAGATTTTCCTAGGTGCCTTATCTCTGGCTTCTGGACTTCCTACCCTTGTTTGCAGCCGCATGCTACTGGTCAGAAGCAAAATGCTTGCTTGCTAGTGAGATGAATGCTGTTACCAAACCAAACATATTTTCCTTTCTTCTTCAGCCTACTTCTGAACCAATTTCATAATTTCTTACTTTGTTTGCTAGTTGGGTTTTTTTTTGTAAGATTCAAAGTACATACCATCTAAGAAAGTTTGGGTTCTTTTGTTTGTTTTGAGGGTTTTGTGGGGGTTATTTATTTATTTATTTGTTTTAGTTACTTCATATAACTCCTTTTAATTCAGCCTCTGAGGTAGATTATTTGGCTTAATATGCGAATTTTATTAGCATTTCTTAGTTAACTTTTAACTTCTCTTATTCTTGTTACCACTTAAAAGCATGAACCACCGTTGAAGAGCCGGGATTCAAGCATGAATTAAACACCAAAAACCTAACAATAATAGCAATAATAATATTTACTGAGCAGTCATTGTGTGCCAGGCCCCATTCTCTGCACTCTCCACATACTAACTCATTCAATTCTCACAACAAACTATTGTTGTTTCCCTTTTATAGATGAGGCAACTAAGCTACAGAGAAGTTGGTTAATTTGCCAAAGATCACAACTTCCTGTGAAGTTCAAGTAAAATCAATCACACAGCAAATGGTATAATCAGAATGCGGACCCCAAAATTGCATTCCAGATCCCACATACTAAACAACTATGTGAATAGGGCCAAGAGACTGACATGATTATATGAAACAAAATTGAAAATGGATATGTTTTTTTACAACCCCTGACATGAAGTATCACATTTTAAAAGAGTAAGCCCTGCCCTTGTGGTGAGGCAGACCTGGGTTTGAGCCTCAGCCACAGTCTTACTAGATGAATAATTTTGGACAAGTTTCTAATCTGAGTTTCTTATTCATAAACTAGAGATAATAGTCATTGCCTGAAATAGTTGGGAAGATTAATGCCAGACCCGGCACCATCAGGTGTTTGGAAACATTCTTGTTTCAGGGTTGTTACCACCACTAAGAATAACAACTATTATCCCACTCTATGGTGACCCGTAGTGTTATGAAATGTTATGTTTGAATAATTCTAAATAATAATATGTAAATATCTCTACTATATAAATAGCCAGTATTAATAATTACTAACTTGATGACCAACAATGTTTGAAACACTTCGCCACCTCATCTCATTTAATCCACAAACATTCCCAAGAAGATACTAGTGTTGGCTCCATTTTTCATAGGAGAAAACAATAGCACAACATGCTTAAGTCCCCCAGCCATCCGTGGAGCCAGGATTTGAACTCAGGCACCTTAACTCCAGAGCTCTCACTCTCAACCACCACATTATACGACAGTATTTCTTATTTCACCTTCCTGGAGGAAAGCAATGATAAGAACGTAAAATAATGATCAGCATGCGTTTCTCTCTTAAGTAGTGGTTTCTGCCTACCATAAAGAGGTAAGAAGGTGATCATCACCTGCTCACAATAGCCCTAGACATTTGAGTCACAACTCATTCTCACATCCATGCAGACTCTTCAGTGAAACACTGTGTTCCTTTTAGGTAGTATAGTTCAAGTTTAGAAAATGTCCAACAGTTGAAATATACATTATATAATTTACAGCACTATAGTTGCAGGTTGGGCTTTCCAGAAGCAAACACCGAGGTGGAGTTTGGAGTGCAAGATCTTTATCAGGCACACCATCTGTGAAAGGAAGGATGAGCAGGCAGCCACGCATGGGCAGAGGAAGGAGCTGAACTGCGGTACAAACATAGCAAAGCCGCAGTCAGCTGGCGGGGAGCTCAGGAGCAAGTACACCTGTGTCCTATTGTCCCAAGTCTGGTAGAAGTTTTAAATTCTTCTAAATTTAGACACAGCTACTAGAGAAGGATGTGAGTCAGGTGAAGCATCTCTCTGTAGCTGAGGCAGATGCTGAAAGAGCTGAAAGCTGGCAACTGTTTGCTGACTGTGCACCCCGCAGCTCGGGAGCAAGTCCTTTGTTGAAGAGGGTTCTGGGCCATATACCTCCATGTCCATCACATCTACACACAAACCGACACACACACCCCTGGAAGTTTAGAGCTTCTCTAGCGGCATAGTCCGTTCAGGCTGCTGTAACAAAGTGCCATAGACTGAGTAACTTGTAAACAACAGAAATGTATTTCTCACAGTTCTCGAGGATGGAAATCCAAGATTAGGGTGCCAGTGTGGTACCGTCTGGTCAGCACCCTCTTCTGGGTTGCAGACGGCCAAGTTCTCATTTTGTCCTCACATGGTGGAAAGAGAACGTGAGAGCTCTTTGGAGGTCTTCTATAAGAGCACTGATTCTATTCATGACGGCTCCTCCCTTATGACCTAGTCGCCTCCCAAAGCCCCCATCTCCCAATACCATCACCGTGGGGGTCAGGATTTCAACATATGCATTTTGGCAGACACAAACATTCAGTTCATAGCAGCTTGTCAGTGATTTAGCTACAGTACAAAAGGGCCTGATTGTTCTTTCAGACTGAAGGACTTGCCAGGATTAGCTGAATTGTTTCTGTGATTACTACGCTAGTCCTTATAATTAAAGCTCTTTGGTAGTGTTTTGCCCCCTTAGCATAAAGGCCGAAGTTCTTAATATGTCTGAAAGCCCTCCCCAACTTGGTCGCTAGCTTCCTAGCTCATCTGCTCCCATCTCCTCCTCCCTGGGGTCCTTTGTCTAGCACATGCTTCACTCATGTTTTAACTCTGCACCAACACACCAAGTCTGAGCTCAGTATCAATTCCCCAGACAGGAATTCAGACAGGTCAGGACCCTCACTACAGACACCAGCAGCCCCACGAATGTCCCCTTCAGTAATTTCTTTAGTGACTCTTCTTCTGGTCTATAACCTCTACAGAATAGGAATGAAACTTGTGTTTTGTTCATCATTGTATCTCCAGCACCTATCACTGCGCACAACACATGGTCAGCACTCCATAAATTTGTGTTCAACTAGATTGCATTGGAATAGACCTGGAACATACCGGGCTGACAAAGTGGCTACCTTTGTCTTTCTGTCTCGGGTGATAGAGCTATTTTCCTTCTTGGACCTTCTATCTATTTTTCACAATAATACTCTCTACCTGAACAGAAGGGATTATGGGTTAAAATTGACAATCAAAACTAACAGAATATAATAGACTTTCATCTATCACTACATTTACTCAACTTTAGGGAAGCATAGAAGACAGGAAACACAGCAAGATCAGTACACCATCCTTATCCAACTGAGAGTCCCAGCAGCAACCCATGTACATAGCTTCTTGTACCCCTCAGCTTACATAGGCATGCATGGCAACTGCAGACATGAGCACATGCATGTGAGGATCAACTTGACACAGAGACACTGAGGCCTCTGTCCCCCACCAATCCTCAAGTACAGTTCCAATAACATTGGACCTGATACCTGCAGGCCGTCTTGTAGCTCACTCATTCAGGGTAGCTCTGCAGAGCAGGGGTTTCACAAAAACAAGGCAGCCACAGCATGCCATATCTATCATTACTTTGCAGTTTCCAAGCAAACAGGACCTGTGGTTATTTTCTAGGTCAACTCAGTCCACATGTTAACTCTTCATTCACAAATATGCCCTTACTTGTTGAGTGACCTTGAGCAAGTTTCTTAACTTCTCCAAGCCAAAAGTTCCTCATGTGTAAAATGAGGATACCACTGCCTGACTCCCAGAGTTGTTGTAAAGGTTAGGTCAGGTGGATAAGATAAAACTTTTGCTTGTAAATAAATAACCAGCATTTTGATGATGCCATCTTTGTATTCAATGGGCATAAAAATGAGCACTTGGGATTAACCACCTGTCCGAATGATTGTGCTCTGCCTTTACATATTCAGGTTATGACAACTCGGGAAGACAAAGTGGTCATTGTTGAAAAGAAAGATGGTACTCGGATAGTGGATCACGCTGACGGTACCAGAATTACAACCTTTTACCAAGTTTATGAAGATCATATTATTCCTCCAGATTATCAAGAAATAAGTAAGTTTTATTTTTCAAGTACATGATATATTTTATAACTCTTTAGCATAAGCTAGATAGAATCTTCACTGATTGCTAAATACACACATAAGAAGAATTTTTAAGCTGGGCGTGGTGGCTCACTCCTGTAATCCTAGCACTCTAGGAGGCCAAGGTGGAAGGATTTGCTTGAGCTCAAGAGTTCAAGACCAGCCTGAGCAAGAGCGAGATCCCATCTCTACTAAAAATAGAAAAAATTAGCCAGTCGTGGTGGCACATGTCTGTAGTCCCAGCCACTTGGGAGGCTGGGGCAGGAAGATCACTTGAGCCCAGGAGTTTGAGGTTGTTGTGAGCTTGTCTGATGCCATGGCACTCTAGCCCCGGTGACAGAGGGAGACTCTGTCTCAAAAAAAAAGAAGAATTTTTGATGAAGTCAGCCAACCAACCAAAGAACACTCATGCAGTTCAAAGCAGGGCCTATAAGGAACATTTATTATTATTATTATCATCATCATCAATTTGCTATTTTTTGTTTTTAATTTAATTTATTTTAATTGATAAATAAAAATTGGATATATTTATCATGAAAATGAGGCTTTGTAACATATATATATATATATATATGCTGTGGAATGACTCAGTCATGTTAATTAACATATGCATTACCTCACACCCATTTTTTTTAGTGGTGAGAATGCTTAAATCTGTCCTCTTAGCAATTTTCAAAATATAATATATTATTATTTATTATAGTCACCATGTTGTGCTGTAGATCTCTTGAACTTATTCCTCTTATCTAATTGATATTTTGTATCCTTTGACCAACATCTCCTCCACCCCCAACCCCTGCAGCCCCTGGTAGCCACCATTCTATTCTCTACTTCTGTGAATTCAACTTTTTTAGATTCCACATGAGTGAGATCGTACAGTATTAGTCTTTCTGTGCCTGGCTTATTTCATTTAACATAATATCCTCCAGGTTCATCCATGTTGTTGCAAATGACAGGATTTCCTTCTTTTTTAAGGCTGAATAATACTCTACTGACTATATTTACCACATTTTCTTTATCCATTCTTCCACTGATGGACATTTAGATTGATTCCAAGTCTTGGCTGTCGTTAATAATGCTTCGATGAATATGGGAATGCAATAGGACTTTTTATTATGATATTTATCCTTAATAGAGAGGGGAGTGATAACAGCTCACCTAGTTGGTTCCTGAATAGTAATAGTCTTTCCCATTTTACCACTAGAGAATTATGGTCCTGAGTGGTGGCAACTAAAATCTAATAACCATGATTCATCTGTCCTGGATATTAGCTCTCAGACCTGTTTCCTTTGATCTTCAAGGCATGTAATTTGCACAAGTAGGTAAACTCAGATAGGTCTTTCTTCAAGTCTGAGCATGTCTCTCATTGTTAGAAAAGTGGTGTAAGAGAGAAGGAAGCTACAGCTGCTGGAACCTGCTCAAAGAATCTAAAAGCCTACCACTCTTCCTAACCTAAACTTAAACAATATTTTTAAAGACAAATTATTCCCTAACTCCTTTTTCCTTCATGTCAAAGTTTTCTTTATTGTACATATTTAAAGTGTACAATGTGATGTTTTGATATTCATATACATAGTGAAATGATTACTAAAGTCAAGTAAACTAGCATGTCCACCACTGCACATAGTTACTTAAAATCTACACTCTTAGAAAATTTTCATTATACAGTATTATTGACTGTAGTCTTCATGTTGTACATTAGATCCCTAGACTTGTTCATCTTACATAATTACAATTTTATACCCTTTGATCTATATCTCCCATGCCCCCATAAAATCATGCATGTCATATTATGATGTGCTAACTTTATTTTTACTTATATAAAGAGAGACATTCTTACACATTTGTACAAGGAAACAGGTACAGGGGTGCTACTTGCAATGCTGAGTATAATATTGAAATATTGGGAAACATATCTGTCCATCAATGGCAAACTACAAAAGTAAAATGTGATATATTCCTACAAAGGAATACTATATAATGGTTAATAGGAATCACACACACATATAAATATATCTAGACACACATATATGTTAAGATGGTTGGAGGTCTTGAAACATTGTTAAGTGAAAAAAGCAAGTGTAGAGTGATAGCATACAGTAATTATACAATTATATAATGACATAAAGTAATATTAATTTATATAAGTTTAAAGCCACAAATATTATATATTGTTCTTGATATATATATTTATATAAAAGCATAAAAATGGCTTGCAAGAGGGAAATAAACCCAAGCATAAGGAGAAACTTCAACTTGATCTGTAATCTTTCTCTTATATACCTATTAAAAATATTGAAGCAAATATGACAAAATAGTAACAAGCATAAATTTTGATTGGTGCATACATGAGTGACTAAATTATATTTTATGCTTTTCAATTTTTCAAATTGAAAAATCGGATGTTTTCAATTTCTCCAAATAAAAAGAGTAGTAAGAACAAGGCAGTATACTAAATTAAGCAGGAAGATTCATTCTGAAACAATTATTCTGAATTGACAAGGAGAGTAGGCCACATTTCAGCCCTGCAGAGTTCTCAGCACTCGGCCTCTCCTTTCCAATTGTATTTTTTCCATGGGGAATCAGACAGCCAGGAGGCAGCGGCACGATCGACAGGCTGGGGTCTGTTTCTCAATGTACGCATTCTATCAGATCTGCTCACCTTGTGTTTGCTTGCAGACGAAAGTCCTCAGACTTTCACCAGGCAGGTAAAGTGTATGCGGATAGAAAACTCACACTATGCCACTGTTATCACCAACTGTGAGGACAGTAGCTGCTGTGCCACCTTTGGAGATGGAACATCTATTATTGCAAAACCACAGGGAACATACCAGGTAAGTCTAGGAGGAAAGTAAGAAGTGTCAAAGGTAAGTGTCCATTTGTCTAAGAAAACTCACTCCTTTGGAGGGGTGAAAATACCTGCAATATCTATTACTCTTGCTTTCTTTTCTCACCTGATCTTAGAATATACTTCTCAGACTCTTATTTATTCATCTTCTTTTTATAGTCCATTCCAGAAAAAAACATTGCTCTGCTTGTTTTACAAAGTTTTGGATCAAGGTTATAAACTGAAATGCGTTTGTTAAGGATCTCTTATGTGCTAGGCATGGTGGGTGTTAGAAGCACTTAGATGATCTGGCCTGTGCCTACCAGACTAGCTTCACCTCCTACCACCTGGACCCTCATTCTTCTTTTCCATGCCTCCTATTTTGAGTCATCCTTCCTCTACTTAATGTTGCAGCGGGACAGGAGAGAGCACGTGGTCTGTGTAGTCCTCGAAGGGCAGTTCTCCCAGCTGAAGCAAAGCTTTGTCCTTGGAAGTTTAAGGAAGGGCACTGTTAGCATCTCTTCCCACCTCCCTGTATTTCCTTATTAAACACAACCACCCTGTGTCAGCTTGCAGTCCCTTTAATCGTAGAAGGATTTGCCTTCACTTTTATACTTACTGGAGAAGGGGCACACGAGCCAAGATATCACATACAATGTCATGATATGCTAAGAGCTCAAAGCCAGAAGATGATGGACAGAGACCTCACAAATAATTGTTACTGTGAAAGTTGCTGAAGCCAGTTTATTCCTTCCATCTCTCCTGATAATGTTATCCTTCTCCCTCTTTATTGGTGTAAATTATTATGGGGCAAGGAAGGTTTTCTGCAAGTGAGAGATGAAAGAAAACGTAGGTGCAAGTTTTCATGTCCATGGATTACACAATGGTTTCCTAGATATGATATGAAACGCACAAGCTTTATCAAAATCAAAAAAAGTTTTTGACTCAAAAGACACCACCAAGGGAAAAGATAAACTATAGAATCAAAAATATTGTTTGCAAATCATATAGCTGATAATGGTCTTGTGTACAGAATATATAAAGAATTCCTACAACTCAACAATAAAAAGACTAGTAACCCAATTTAAAAATTAGCAAAAGATTTGAATTTTTCTAAAGAAGATACACATGTGGCAAATAAGCCATGAAAAGATGCTCAACATCATTAGTCATTAGGGAGATGCAGATCGAACCACAGTGACATGCCACTTCACACCCACTATTTGACTGTAATCAAAAAGACAATCACAAGTATTGACAAGGATGTGGAGAAATTGAAACCCTCATACACTGCTGATGGGAATTCATAATTGTGCAGTTGCTTTGGAAAACAGTTTGGCAGTTCCTCAAAAAGTGAACATAGTTGTCATATGATCCAGGAATTCCACTCCTAGATATATAGCCAAGAGAAATTAAAATATACATCTATACAAAAACTTGTAAACAATATTAATTGCAACATTTTTAATAATAGAAAAATGTGAAAACTCAAAGGTGTATCACCTCATGAGTGGATAAGCAAAATGTGGTAAAGCCATACAATAGAATATTATTTATCCACAAAAGTGAATGAAATACTGATGTATGCTGCAACATGAATGAATCTTGAAAACATTATGCTAACAGAAAGAAGCCGGACACAAAAAGCCACATAGTACATGCTTCCATTATATGAAATGACTAGAATAGGTAACTCTACAGAGACAGCAGATTAGTGTTTGCCAAGGCCCAGGGGCAAAGGTGAGATAGAGTGACTGCTAATGGGATCAACGTTTCTTTCGGAGGTGATAAAAATGTTCCGAAATCAGTGATAATGGTTTCGCAAGTTGTTTCATATACTGAAAACCACTGAATTATACACTTTTAAAGGGTGGATTTATGGTATACGAATTATATTTCGGAAAAGAGCCTATCTGAAGCAGAAGCCATTACATAAAAGCTATTACTTAAGGATTATGTCAGCCACCAGAGGAGTGAGGACAAATAATAGCTTCTAAGAGCATTTATCCCATGGCTTTTGACCCTTTTGGAGATGCTTCTTGTCCAAGAACACAAAGGAACCCAAACATTTTTTATAGGACTACTTCTGTTTACTTTGGTGAAAATATACTAAATATTGGAAATAAAAGGGCTCAGGACAATTACTTAGAAGGGATATTAAAGTGAGTGGTAAAATGTGAGGGCACAGGAAATCGTGTCTTAATTATTCAGTATGCCTCCTTATCAAGTAGTCTTCCCAAACCTTGAGCCTTTTCTTGGGTAATGTTTTCTTCCTGGAAACACAGTTTGTGACTAGGATCTATGAATACTCTTTTTCCTAAAGTGATTTCCCAACTCCATCAAATTGAACAAGAAAATTTTTAAAATTTCCTTCTTTCTGTTACCCTTTCAGGTGTTACCTCCAAACACAGGCTCTCTTCACATTGATAGAGATTGTTCCGCTATATATTGCCATGAATCAAGCAGTGATATATACCATCCTTTCCAAAAGCGTGAGCAGCTGAGAGCCAGCAGGTACATCATGAAGCACACTTCAGAGGTTGTCTGTGAGGTTCTGGATCCTGAGGGAAACACTTTTCAGGTAAAGTTCATCTTTAGTATGTAGAGAGAGCCTGTGGCTTTGCTTTTGAGATATTTCAGACTAGACAGCTTCCATGTAGATTTTTACCTTAGTTTCCTTGGGATTAGTTACCCACTTACTGCCAATACCTTGGGCAACCAGTAATGAATGTCAATATATTTTTTTCTTTATTTTTAAGTGTACTTCCATAGGGGATGGCATAGTAGAAATGTTAAAGCCAAATAAATAATTAGAACAGAAAGGAAGGAACATTAGCAGACATCTAAAAATAATGCCAATAAAAAGAATAGTATCCTCATCCCCATCCCCACACCGTCTGGGGGATGGATATGCTTGAAGCTCTGACTCAGGTGGGGCAAGGACAATATATGTAACCTAAACATTTGTACCCCCATAATATGCTGAAATAAAAAAAATAACAAAAACAAAACGAAAGAAGAAGAACATTTCATGACACATAAAAATCATAGGAAATTCAAATTTTAGTGTTATTATATAAGGTCTTGTTGGAACACAGCCGTATTCATTTGTATATATACTGTCTATGGCTACTTTTGCATAATAATGGCAGAGTTGAGTAGTTGCAACAGAGAATGTATGCCCTGAAAACTCCAAAATATTTACTATCTGGCCCTTGACAAAAAAAGATTTGCCAACTCCAGCTCTAGGCAATTATCTTTATTTTTTTTTTCACTTTCATGCAACAGTGGAATTCTGTCCATCGGCTAGTGAATATGAAGTTATTTTTTAGATTTGGTGTCATACCACAGAATTCCTAACTGTTTTTGTATGCAGACAGGCCCTGATCCAGCTTATTTTCTCTTTGCTAAGTAACTGAGACTTCACAGCATGAGTTCAAGCTGACAAATTTCAACTTACAAGAAATTGAAGTAGAAACTTAAAGCTCAAAACCGTCTAGGGTGAAATGTCTGGGTTGTCTAGGCCAAGCATTTTTCCAGGCATTGATACTTCTCCTGGGCATTGTCTTCAGTGGTCTTTCAGCCTAAACCACTCTCCTTCCTAGGGAGACCCATGCCATATTTGGACTGTATAAAGGGATAGAGCATTTTTTCTCATATCGATACTAAATGTTTCTGTATGAATTCTATACACAAGTATTAAGTCTGTGCTTAGAATCTGAGAGTATGATCCTCTTGCGTAGATGGTGCTTTCACTATTTCAAGACACCTATCACATGAGTACCTGTTTCTCCGTGTTTAAATTACCAATTCCTTGAACTAATGTTCATAATATAAGGTTTTGAGTTTCCTCCCCATACTTTCTTCAATAAATGTTCCAGTTTATTTTCACATTCTCAGTGTGGCTTATAAGTAATATAGCTGTGCTGCTTTTTACTTTTATTAATCCAATATATACTTAGCAATACCTTCCAAATAAGCATCTCTGATTTTCTTAGCATGCCAAAAGATCACCTGCTTCCTCAAATTGGATCAGCAGAAATGTAAGCATTTTAGGTTTTTTTTTTCTTTTAGTTGCTTATATACTTTGTCTCTTAGGTCATGGCTGATGGTAGTTCATCAACAATATTACCTGAAGAAAAAATGGAAGATGATTTAAATGTAAAAACTGAGAGCTATGATAGTTTATCATATATTGACCTTCAAAAGAATCATCAGCAAATCTATGGTGAACATGTCCCCAGGTAAAACGATAATAATACCATGACTTTTACTTTCAATTCTAAGTTCAAGAAGTATTTTAACTGAATATTTCAAATGATTAGATTTTTATTTCTTCAAATAGGTTTTTTGTTATCTATGCTGATGGATCAGGAGTGGAACTTCTTCGAGACAGTGACATAGAAGAATACCTATCATTGGCATATGGAGAATCAACTACTCTTGTTCTCCAAGAGCCTGTGCAGGAACAGCCAGGTAAGAACCCATAGTGTCTGGAATGCTTTGTGTCCCTCCACCAACTCTCATCCTCCTACTATCCAATCCACCCTCGTGTTACCTTCTCTACTTTTTCTACCTTGCTCACTTTTCTACTCTACTTTCCACCTAGTCATGTTGACCTATTTACATAGCTACTTGAATCTTCATACATATCAAGAGATAGCTGAGCATTAACCTATATAAATTGCATGTAACCCTCTCCTACCGATAAGCAGATTTTTATCTGTGTTTAGGTATGTACCAAGGTTCTTATTTATGAGTTTAGTTCATTTTAGTAAGAAAAACCAAAGAACAGTGAGACACCTCTTGTAAGTTCATTTTCGTCATTTTGAAGATGTTTCCTTGATGAAATTGAATACAATAAGTAAGTACGTTTGATATGTGAGTTATAATACCAACCTGAAATATATGATAAGTTACATAAGTTATATTCATTGGGTATTTATGTCATTTTCATCAATTTCAAAGAAATTGGTACATGGCTAGAGGTTAGAGATACATATTGCATTAAGTAAGAGTCATCAATATATGTAATATGTGTATTTAAATATAGATAAACACCTACATGTTCTCTATGTACAAAACCTATGTGCTATGCCTGAGTTTATGCATGTGTTTCTTTTCATCTTTTCTCTGTTTTAGAGGGTATATTTTGTGTACATTTATGAATATGCCTGTGTCTCTGTGCCCTCATATCTTTTAGTGTATCAGTGCACATATGTCTGATGTGAACATACCATGCTCTTTGTGAATATACAGAGTTGGGGGCTCTGACTGGCTATGCAGTGCATGTGTGGAACTGTGTGAGAATAAGAATTCATCTCAAATTGCTGTGTTAGTCAGTCACTTAACTGACATCTACTTGGCAGCCACCATATACCAAACACTGGCAGGGCTAAGAATTAGGAATACAATGATGACCTAAAACAGGCATCGACTCTGCTTCCATGGAGCTTACAGTTTAATTGTAGAGATAGGTGTTAATTATATAGCTGCACAAATAACTGTATGATCATAAATTGGGATGAGGTCTATGAAGGAAAGGAGCATGGTTCTACGAGAGAATCTAACAGAGGAACCTGATGTAGCTTAGAAGACTTCCCTGAAGACACTTGAGCCAAGACCTAGAGGATAGGTAGGGGTCGATTAAGGTAAGGAGGAGAGCTTTCTCAGAAAAGAAAACATAAAGAAGGAAGCATAAAGCATTGGAGAACAGGGGAGAAAGGTAAACGTAGCTGTAGCACAGAGGGGGAAAATGATGCAAGCTGAGGCAGGGGCAAGAAAATGTTAAGGACTCAGCTTTATCTCATAAGAAATGGGATGTCAAGAAAGAGTTTTAATCATGAATTAACATTGTCAGTCACCCTGACTGCAGAGGGAGGTTCATTTACAGAGTACATGTGGGTGGAAATGCCATTTGTTGCTATAGTCTAGAACGGGATCTTTCTGAGGCACGTAATCTAATGTACAGTCTGTGGAGAGAGAAGATGCAGATGAACTCAAAAAATTTTAATGTGTTTTGCTAGATCCTAAGTTAAAAAATAAAATAAAATTAATTAATTTAAAAAAATTATTGGTAGAACTGACAGGACTTGGGTATGGTTGCTGAGGGACAGTGAGGTGTCAATGAATACTTCTAGGTGATCTAAACCCAGTCCGTAGGTGCTACAGCGACTAAAAGCCGTATCTTTCTTGTTAGATTGTAAGGTCCTTAAGCATAATCACTGTGTCTTGCTTAACTTTCATGTAGAAGGCAATTCGAAACGTGTTCGCTGAATTTAGTGAATGCATACTGAATTTCTCAGAATAATTTTCGTGGGTAAATGGTCTTCTGATAACTCTTTTTAAACCAGGTACCCTGAGCATCACAGTCCTTCGCCCTTTTCATGAAGCATCACCATGGCTAATGAAGAAGGAATTAGATACAATTGTTCCTCCTAATCTCCAGTCAAGGTCATGGGAAACATTTCCCGCAGTTGAGGTACACATTTTCTGCTGAAAAGTCACTTTATTTCATATGCATCTATCAGTGAACTGGAGTCTCAGGTCTGCTCCCATGTATTCATGTATTTTCATCCCTGTATAAATTGCTAATGGGCTCAAGGAATTTTATGTTTGAATATTCTAACATTTGCAGATGTGGCAGTAACATTTTAGAGGAATATTCCTGGCTAGCTAATTCAGTTTAATTTCTTTTATCCTATATTGCAGGCTTGAACATCTTCCTATAATATGAAAATATCCTTTCTGAGTAATCCAAGTTACACCTCTCTCATCATGGAACTCCTGATATGATGCCATACGGAAATCTTCCCCCCTACCATTTCTTATCTGATAGTTTTAACACATAATTTTAGATCTTTCACTCTCCCTCTATTTTCCTTCATATGTTAAAAGTGCACCAACTGAGCATATAAGAATAATGTGAAAGATTATATACGGATTTGCAACTGTAATGTTAGGAAGTAAACATTATAATTATGTCTGAGTAGAGAAGCCCCACCTAAAGTTTTTTAAAGGATGAAAGAAAATATCTTGGGCAAGAATCATGAAGTCCTGCAGCTTGCCAGATTTGCTATTTTATTTTGCAAGCAATTTATGTAGTATGTCCAGCATATTTTCAGATGTTAAATTATTAAATCAATGAAGATATGAATAATGAGATCAGAGAGAGATACTAATGTTAAATAAAGAGGATAATGTTTTTGAGTTATGATAATTTTTGCTGCCCTACACTAAATCTTATAATAGCAAGAGCACAGATGATGAACACTTAAGATAACAAAGACCTCCTACCCCTCTGGTTTAATTTGGTCACTGTAATCTACATGATGAGAATGAGGTATTCCTGGTTCTACCACTTATTAATGTGTATTGGAGACAAGTCACACTGGATCTCCATTTCCTTCTCTGAAAATGAGGAGATGACACCATGGTGACCACATGGCTCACTAAGGCTATATCCAAGTTGAAAGTACTACGTGATGACAAAGAATATGCCACATCTGAGATTAATGAAGGAATTTTATTCTCTTCCTCTGACACTCTTATGTTATGAACTTCTACACCTGGCAGGAGTGGCCCAGCCCCAGCAAGCCCCTGCGTGCTTGTCACTGGCCAGGCCTTTAAAAATGAAGCACATCAGGCACACTTCAGGACATAGGTCAGCAAAGCACACCACTCCTGAAAATCAATTACAAATATAACATAGAGATGTAAGTTGACTCTAAGGCAGACATTTCTGCCCACAAGATCCTGAGAAGACTCTGGAGGCATGCTTAACCTAGAATGAGCTCAAAAGTAGTCCCGATCTATGCAATGATTTCTCTCTCAGAGAATCTTTCTAGGTCAAAATTAACATGGAACCAGAAAGTTAAAGACTGCTTAATTCCAAATGTCTTAGGTTATCTGTGGGTATAAGAGAATAGTCACATACATTTGTCATAAGCTAGGCTGCTGTTGAATTACCATAGCACAGCATTGCTCAGGGATTTTAAAATATCCAGATTCTTGGTAACACACATAAAGAGAAAAGCTTGCCCAACTTTATTGGTAGTTTTCCTTACATTTGCAGAACACTTTAAGGTTAACGATCTTTTTTTTCACCAGCATATCCCTATCAGGTGCTTCCTGATATAGCTATCCAAGTAATAAGTATTGAGTAAAAAAATAAATAAATACAATAAAATAAACCAAACATTCTTATTTCTTCGGTGGTACTTTTGCTTTGTTTTGTTAACAGAAAAAAACTCCAGGACCTCCATTTGGCACTCAGATTTGGAAGGGCCTTTGCATTGGGTCCAAGCAGCTAGTGAGTGCCCCAGCACCTATACTCAAGGGCCCCAAGGTGCTACAGATGCGCCAGTTCATTCAGCACGAGGTCATAAGGGATGAGGTGAAACTGAGGCTGCAGGTTTCCCTTAAGGTAAAGGAATCCAGGTAACCTGACCCAGAAGAATCAGGAACAGGGCAATTGTTGCTCTTGGTTTTCTGAGGAACTTGAAATTATGTAATTCTACCAAAATTTATCTAGTGCAGCACAAAAATGTCAATCTTCCAGAGAGCAAAAGATTGAAAGGTAGAAAATACTTAATGGTTCCCATAAGGTATAGAATTTTTTTTAGCATATGCACAGGTATAAAGATATAGAAATTAAAGAATCCCCAAAGACATTGAGAATGTAAGAAACTTTTATATATATGTGATTGCTATATGGAGTCCTCCATCTTTCTCCCTATATATAAAACTGGTCTAGTGA